TTCCTTTTTAACTTTGTGATCGATGAAAAATGAGACGAACGCTGGAGGGTCTCCAAAACCCTGATGTTCAAATAGCCTGTGAAGAAAACCTTGTCGATCCGAAACATGCAGACGACATCTTTCTCATGTTCGAAGAGGAGGAGAAGGCGCAAGTATTCTTGGGTGAACTGACCAAAGTCATCCCGTCCTTTGGTATACACTTTGCACCTACAAAGTGTAAGGTCATGCTCGTGGACGTGCAGCCACTTACAATCCAGGGAGAGGTGCGGGCTGTTTTGTTGTATGGCTGTGAGACTTGGCCTATTCGAGCAGCGCAACTGAGACGTCTTCAGGTGTTTGACAATCGTTGTCTCAGAACTATAGCTCGTGTGGTTTGGTGTTTGTGAATCCGTAATGAAGCAATAGGAAAGGACGTTTTCGGTTGTGCAACCGGTACTTCCATTGAAGAATGTGTCCAGCACCAGAAGTTGCGTTGTTTGGGATATTTGTTGCGTATTCCGAACCATCGTTTGCCAAAGAGAGTGCAGCTTTCCATGCCCAATTCGGAGTGGCGTAAACAGAGAGCTGGTCAATCCTTGACTTGGCAGAGGAATATGAAGGAGATCACGAAGCGCTTGGGTGCTGTCGGTGCTACCCGTCTTCCAGGATGGGGACCGCGTGATCCTCACTGTGCCTGGTTGGAGACACTACAAGGTATGCCTGCCAACCGATGTCAGTGTCGTTCTTGCTGTCAGTTTCTATGCAGATCGCCTAAATGAGTGTCTGAAGGTATAGGCACCTCGGAATGATTGTGGTAAGCTAGTGCTAAGTCCCTTCCCCATACATCTTTACTCTTTGCTTTACAATGAGGCTTTCAAATAAGTCATGGTTGTACGGCAGTGAAGCATCGGTGTTGAACAGTGATGTCATGCTATCGATTATGATGATGGTTAGATGACATCGTCCTCATCTTCGAAGACGAAGGCGACCTTATTGTATAAACTAACCACCGTCCTACCATCTTTCGGCATGCGCCTTCAACTTGAGAAGTCATGATTCAGAACTTAAGGTCTCTGAATATGTCCCTTTCACTTCAAAGCGAAGACCCAGGGATCGTGGAGAATTTTACATACCTCGGTAGTTGTACTTGCTTTGACGGAAGTGTCTGATGAAGTCAGTGAATGAATCTCACAGATCAGAATTACGTTTTCTAACTCTTGCTCATTTGTGGTGTCAAAGGCCTGTCGCTGGGTGTTAAGGATCAAGTTTACTAGGCTGTGAAAAGGTCTTTTGTTGTATGGCGGCGAGACATGGTCTCTGCGGGCAGACGATGTGAGGCGTCTTCCGGGTTTCGGCTACCGATGTCTCAGAGGCGTTGCTGGTGTTGGATGGCGTATTCTAAAATCAAATCTTTCAACTGTAACACCCTCCCGGTGCCTAGCTGCCATGCCACCCGAAGGAAGCACGAGGGCTGGGATACTGTCAGGTTGCCCAAGCCTAGACAGGGGAAGTCGAGAGGCAGATGTCGGGTTCGAACCGCCAACCTTCTGACCAGTAAATTCGCGTTGTAACCACTTGAGCCATCTCGCCCCGATGGCGTATTACTAACGAGGTTATTAGAAAACGAGTATTTGGTTGTGCCGCAGGTGCTTCAGTTGCGGAAAACATCCAGCACCATCAACCGAGATGGCCCTGTCGTGTGCCACGCATGCCGAAATACCGTCTACCGGGCCAGCGTTGTTCTCTCTGCCTCCGTCAGAATGGCCAGATAGACAACATGTGAGATGGCAGAAGAGCGTGGAAGAAATCATGAAGAGTTTGGCTGTTGTTTGTACGGTCCACCCTTGAGAGTGTCACTCCCATGACTTCTGTGCTTGGCTGGAGACATTGCATGAAGTGGCGGCTGATCGATGTCAGTGGTGTTCGTGCTGTCAGGCTCTTTCCGATTAGCTGATTGAGCATCTGGAGGCGTAGGTTTGCAATATGCTAGTAGTCGGCCTCCTCCTCATCCGTTTCTTACTTCTTTCACTTGAGTACTTCAAGTTCAATCTAATGGACTGAATGTTCCATGGTGAAGCATCAGTATCAAAACTAATGCTGCTTTCTTTTGCGAGGCCAACGTCTGTGGGATTCGCCTACACGTGTCTGTATGAGCCAAGGATCTGGAATACTGGTTTTTGGAAGACATGAAAACGTCTCAACTTGGTTGAACAGAATGCTGTTGTCCGTTCCTAATTCAGAGAGGTGGCCGTCTTTTGACCTAGAAGAGTATGTAATGGTTTACGAAAAGTTTGGGTGCTAGGGTGACTCGCCTTTCACGATTGGGTCGGAGAGATTTCCACTGTCTGGTTAGAAACGCCGCAAGATATGGCTGCTAATCGATGCCTTGTTGTTAGTTTCTATGCAGATTGCCCAGATGGGTGTCCGGAGGTGTAGCAACCTCTGAGTGATAGCGGTGAGCTGGCACTAAGCCCCTTCCTCATTCACGTATTCTTTTCCTCACCATAAGTCTAAAAAAATCGTGATTGTACAGCAGCGAAGCACCACTGTTGAACACTGATGTTATGCTGTCTATGGGGATGATGACTCAGTTCCGATGTCCTCAGAGGTTTCATATCCATACAACCCGGACTGTAGCCCGTTACACACGTCCCCTCAGATTCATGGATATGCCGTTTCGCCACCAAATGTATCTCACGAGCCACCATAAGGCCACAAACCATGCCAAGAATCTCATGGTGACTGGGGTCAAGTTGATCTCCCTATGATTGCCAAACGCACTACGGGGCCCTTTTTGAAGGTGAGCACCATCACCGGTTGTCCCCAGTTGTCTGAGACGGTCAGGTTTTCCCGTATGCAGGTAAATAGATCAGATGAGCGCTGACTGGAGACTTCACACCCACCCCTGAACAGTGACCGTGGGAAATCATCCGGTCCAGCAGCTCGTTGGGACTTGAGTGAACATACGCAGTCATCAGCCTCCGACCCGGTCGTGCGAATCGGTCAGAATAATTTTCGCACGTCGCGCAACCTTTGAAATATCGTCATCATCTTGGTTGACCACTCCTCATGCAGCCAGGTGATAGGTGCTACGAATAGAATATCGATTCTGATTGAGCGCGAGAACAAGAATGAATGGCGTAGAATGAATAGCGCTTTACTCGTCTAAGAATAGACGTACATAAGCTGAAAATGAAGGCGAAAACATGGTTAATACAAAACGTTAATGTGAGCACAAAGAATATTCATGACATTCAACCTGGCCGTTGGATTGTGTGTAGAAGAATAAATTGGGTACAGGTATTGGATGAATGATTGTAAAAATCTAATGAGTAATAATGAGTGTGGTTAGGCTTCTCTATTTCTTAAAATGTAGGGCCGTGTACGCTGCTGGAGCCTGGCTAAATCAGAGATGCTAGGGTCATATGTATCTGGAGATGCAGGTGCATTGCCCAGGCACGGGAGTGAGACTGAAATATGATCGATATCGTCTCCAATATTATTGAGCGGAGGCGTGTGCAAGTCAGATAGAGGGGGTGCATGAACACCATTGTCTTCATTGGATGAGGTACGCGTGAAATCGTTGAC